TGGGGTCATTATTCATATTCATATTGATCCATTGTTTGAGTAGTTGGTTATTAGGATTATTTTTTAATAGTTTTTATTCTTAGTATTTTGCTTGAGGACAAACAAAGATTTAAGTTTGGGGGTATTTGATGAGTGGGTTTTATACCTACGAATTGAGTATTTTTAGTTTGATGAAATTGTAAGTTTTTAATTATTTTATGTTCCTTTTTATTTATTTTATGTGTTTTGATGTTATTTCGTAGGGATGATAGTTTGGAAGGAATCATGATCAATTGCGAAGAAACAAGGTCAATTTGGAGCCAAAATGGTGAATTTTTGGAAGAGGACATGAAAGGGCATTTTAGGCCTGCAGAGGGGAGCGTGCCCCTCTGCCAACCTACTGTCCCTATGGTGCCCCTGCACAGATTTATGGCACCCCCGCACTTGTGTTAGTATGTGACGCAAATTTTACCTTATTTTTGACTCGAAATTAGACTCTAAAGCTACATATATGCTAGGGTTTGTGTGGGGATGATATATTCTAACTTTTGGGGGCTAAAAACATCTGGAAAAGCCAAGGAAATAGAAGATAATTGAAGACAATAATCGAAGGAATCGACACGAGGAAGATTGGTCTTGAATGCTAGAGAAGGATTGAATATTGCACCTAAGTTTTTATTTTTTTCTCTTACTTTTATTTCTTGATTTCCTAAGATGTTTTTTAATTTTAGAATGATGTTTTTCAATTACATTATATTCTGAATTTTAGGGGCTGAAAACATCTGGAAAAGCCAAGGAACTGGAAGAAAATTGAAGACAAGAATCAAAGGAATCGACACGAGGAAGATTGGTCTTGAAGGCTAGAGAATGATTGAAAATTGCACCTAAGTTTTCGTTCTTTTCTCTGATGTTGTTTAATTTTAGAATGATGTTTTTCAATTACGTTATGAATTAAATTTTTATTAAGATTGCAATGGAACATATGTCTAGTTAAATTAATCTATTCTCGTTTATAGTTCTTATTGATCTTATATAAGTTGTTTGTCATATTTTGTGATTACTGTATGATTATGTGGCCAACAATTAATTTGATAACCTAGATGAAATTGGGAGATGAATTCTAGGTTTAGATCCGAATATGATGACATATGTCTAGTTAATTCTTCTTAGGATTGAATTGCTGGGTTTGTGTATAGGATAGGAATATACCTATATGTCGTGTGTAACTTTCATGAGAATTTGAACTTAATGAATCTATTCCAAATACTTTGAGTTTTCAGTTAACAACTTATTTTGATCAATTAACAAGAAAGAGAGTTAGAAAGGTTTATACGAAGCATTTGAAGAAGTTGTAATCTTAACTTCTTTTCTCTAGTTAATTCAACACTTGATTGTTAAGTTTAGATTTAGTTTTAATTTAGTTATTCCATAGTTCAATTACAATTGTTTAAATAAAATTGAATTGATACAAAGTTAGTACTTGGTTATTATTAGCAATAATTCTCCGTGGAAACGATACTCTACTTATCACTTTATTACTTGTTGATTGTGTATACTTGCACATAAATTGTCAATATCAAATTCGGACAACAAGTTTTTCAGTGAAGCTACAAGTAGCCAATTGCACTATAAGAGCAAATATATGACAACTAAAAGTGAAATCAAAAGTGGAGTCCTTACCTAGCTTGGTCTTGGGGACGGTATCCCATCTTGAGGGCACAAAGTCACGATCACTTTTAGAAGCCCACTCGCCTCCAACAAAGAAGAACTTGGTCTTCCAGCTATGAACAATTTGAAGGAAGCCCAATGATAAACTTACCCAACCTTAGGGTGAAACAGTATCATCTCTGATGAGGGATGGGATTCTCTAAGTGTATATATGTGGCCAGGAACTCCTCGAAAGGGGGAGAGAGGTCAGTGCTTGACAAATTTCCTTGTTGTTTCCTAACCTATAAACATCACCTTTTAGCATGTATAGTATATGAATAAAGGGGAGTGTCACTCTCTTAGGGATGATGTCAAAAGAAAGGGCAATGGAATGGTGGATGAATGGGATTTCAAATGTGAGTATGTGTGAACAAAAGTGCTCCCCAAGCGCAAGGAGACTTTCACGGATCGTGTTTTACTTGGTGGTATTCCAAGGTCGTTTCCACGGGGAAGGAAGTAAACCGAGGGGAAGGTGATTTTGGGAGAAAGAAAGTGTAAAATCTTTGATTGTTGGAAGTTGTTTGGTGAAGTTGTTTTGATGCTAGTAAAATGAGAAACAAATGTTGGCAAATCCAAGAGGTCACTCCAATAGGAATACCGTCTCAACTCGAAACCCTCCTCCAATAGAGCATGAATGAACGATTGATTCGTGGGAAGCTAGGGGTAAGATTGGTGAGTATCTAAGCATAAACCGTGACTAGGCCTACGGAATATCAAAGACTCACCAAGTTATCCACCCTCAACCCAGTCAAACCGAACCATTGAACTCTGAAAGAGGGGAGGAGAATGAGTTGAAATGGTATACCCAAGTGGAGGTTCCTCTTGGTTTTGCCAACTAAGAGATTTAGCTATTCATGCTTAAAATAAAGACAACAATATGATGAGAAGACATTATGAAAAAATAAAGACTAAAGCTAAGCATAAACGAATTGCATAAATTTAACTTCCGGATAACCACCTCTTACTAAAGATTGGATGAGAAACTACTCACTCTTCATGGCTTTGTTAAAACTAGAAAAGTGAGTGATGTTTATCCCTCCAAGTAGAAGAGTTACAAGGTAACACATTTTACACAAGGAGCCGATCTTCGACAAAGAATGAGTGAATCACGTTCCACCCTTCACGGCTTTGGTAAAGCTCTAGAAAAGTGGAAGAGTTTCACTCCTCTAAGGGAAGAAGGAAGCTCAAGCAATGGAAGTAAAAGAAAGCAATAACACAATAAAAGAAAGCAATACTTAAAGTAAAAGAAAGCAATAAATTAAAAGGAAGCAA